TAACACCACTCTGAAAAGGTAACCCTAAAATCATTTTGGAAACAAATCATGGATCACAGCCTCCAAACACTTTTGGTCTCCCTGGCCTTTAGCTGCAAACAGACCAGAGGACAATTTTGGCTCCTATAAAAAAAAAAAAATGACATTCTTTGAGGACTACTTACACTAAACACTGCTCAGTTTCTACCTCTTATTCTTTCATTTTCTTTCAGACAGGTTCCACTGTTCAGCATTGTCTGTCCCAGGACTTACTATGTAGTCCAGGCTAGCCTCATATTTACAAAGATCCACCTGCCTCTGACTCCCCATGTTGGGATTAAAAGTTTGTACCACCATTCTAGGCTCTACGTCTTATTCTTTTCATAAGATCTTCATCGACTCTGTGAAAACTGATCTGAGCCCCTCTTTTTGGTATGAAATTTCCCTTTGTAAATGCATCTATCTGTTTATCATCCATTCCCTTGGAGTTGACCATCACTGCTCATTTTAGTTCATGTTCTCTGGTGCTCTTCTGGCTCATAAACTCCCAACCTATTGATGTTCTCTCTTGAGCTGTATCATAATTTTAGGAATAAAAATTATTCTCATTTCTATTTTTCTCAAAGATCCTCATCAAAAATAAATATGGAAATGCTCTTTAATTACTGAGATGAGAACATAGCTTTTCTCTGTCATCTTTGTTGTTCTCATCTCTACTGCTCATGGTGTTAATGTTTGAAAGTTCACTGAATATGGCCATTTTGCTTTCTCTTCCTCCTTGATCTGTGTGTGTGTGTGTGTGTGTGTGTATGTTTCTCTCTCACACATACATACAATGAAGAATTTAAAATGGGTATCACTACTCTTGACAGGGTAAATATACAACACTTGGTTCTGAAAAGAGGAGGAAATACTGATCTGTAGTGCTTTCGACATTCCATCATGTAAACACTATTCTCAAGGTCAGTGTCATTTAGCCAACCTTTCAAACTCTGAATGCCATGACAATGTATCACAGAGTGATGCAACCTGTGCCTACATATCACTGCACTGTGTCTATGGTCTGAGCGTGGCTTAACTCCTCTGCCTGTCTGCACTTGCCACAGCATCTCCCAAGAACTCTCTCTACAGCTTCTACTAGCTCCCATTTTAGTTACCAGAATGTGTTGAGAAACTAAGTTAAATAGATTGAACTCTCTGCTTCTTCAAAATATATCTTTCTTTATAATTATTTACTTTACAGCCTGGTTGTATCTCATCCCTCTTTCTTCAGAGACCTGAAGTTTTTACATAGCCACAAATAATATAAAGTATCTTGGTGTAACTCTGACCCAGCAAGTTAAACACCTGTATGACAAGAACTTCAAGTTTCTAAAGAAAGAAATTGAAGAAGATATCAGAAGATGGAAAGATCTCCCATGCTCATGGATTAGTAGAATTATCATAGTAAAAAATGACCATTTTAACGTAAGGCAATCTACAGATTCAATGCATTTCCCGTCAAAATGTCAACACAATTCTTTATAGATCTTGAAAGAACAAGTCTCAACTTCATATTGAAAAAAAAAAACACAAGAACAACTAAAACAGTCCTATAAAATATAAGAATTCGTTGTTCAAAGCAATAGTGATTAAAATAATCACATGACAGTAGCATAAAATCAAACAGTTTAATTAATGGAATTGAATTTAAGAACCAGAAATAATCCCCCACACCCATGGACACTTGGTTTTTTACAAAGAAGCCAAAACCATACAATGGAAATAAATAAACCATCTTTAATATATGGTACTGGCCTAACTAGATACCTGCATGTAGAAGAATGGAAATAGATCCATATTCACCACTTTGCACATAACTCAAGCCCAATTGGAGCAAAGAGCTCAACATAAAACTGGACACACTAAATTTAATAAAAGAGAAAGTGAGGATTAGCCTTAACTGCACTGGCACATGGAAAACTTCCTGAACGGAAACAGCTCAGGCACTGAAATAACAATTAGTAAATGGGACTTCATGAAATTGAAAATCCTCTGCAAATCAAAGAACAGTGTCATTTTGCAGAATGGCAAAAGATCTTCACCAACCCTATATCCTACAGAGGTTTAAATACAAAATATATAAGGAACTTAAGAAATTAAACACCAAGCTTGGCATTTGGGAGTACACCTTTAGCACTTGGGAGGCCGAGGCAGATGGACATCTATGAGTATGAGGCTAGCCTGGTCTACAAAGTGAGTCAAGGACAGCCACGGTTACTCCGAGAAAACCTGTCTTGATCACCTTCCCCCTCAAAAAAAAGACTATAGCTTTCCATAGTATGCCCATCAGCATGGTTAACATGAAACATTCAAACAACAGCTCACTCTGGAAGGATGTGGAGGAAGGGGAACCATCCTCCATTGCTGGCACATTTCCAAACATGTACAACCAGTTTGGAAATCAATCTGGAAATTTCACAGAAAATTAGGTATAGTTCTACCCCAAGACCCAGCTATACCATTCCTGGGCATATCCTTAAAGATGTTCCACCAAATCTCAAGGACACTTATTCAACTATGTTCATAGCAGCTTTATTGATAATAGCCAGAAACTGGAAACAACCCAGATGTCTCTCAACTGAAGAAGAAATAAATAAATCACAGTACATTAACACAATGGAATACTGCTCAGCTATTAAAAACAAGGAAATCATGAAATTTGCAAGCAAATGGATGGAAATAAAAAAGATCATCCTGAGTGAGGTAACCCGCAACCAGAAAGACACACATGGCATATACTTATTTACAAATGGATATTAGCCATATAATATACAATAAGCATACTAAAATCTATAGTTCTAAAGAAGCTAAACAACAAGGACCCTAGGGAAGATGCTTAATCCTCATTCAGAAGGGCGAACAGTATGGACATCAGATGCAGGGGAAGACAGGGAACAGGGCAGGAAGCTTTGATCAAAGACTCTTAATCCAGGCCTGAAGAAAAGGTGGTCCTCAGGCTTTCTGAGTTCTTCCTGCCTGTGTTCTGTAGAGGATCTTTCTCCCTGTATGCTTTGTTGTGTGTGTCAGGAGAGGGAGACAGGGTAGTTCCTCACCCCCAATAAAGAAAGGTCTGTCTTCACTGCCTGAGTCTGTCTGCTGAGATTTTCCCTGCTGCTACAATTCTGTAACTGGAAGAATAAATGGACCTGGTCAAATCCCTAGATGTAAAAGTAGGGAACAAATGAGAGTGTTTTTAAATACTGAAGAAAATCCATTTCAGAGGAAAATTAGGTTAAACGTTTAGGGATGAATTAAACCCAATTTTACTACATGAGAAAGACTATAAAAATAATTTTTAAAAAACTGACTCCTTGCTCCACTTGAGATAATTACTTGGAATTTTTTTCAATGTCTATGTATATGCCACTAAACCTAACCAGTATCCTGACTTGAGAGAGAGCATGTGACAGGGCTGCTTCTTCAGACAGCTTCAGTTTGGGTTTGAAAACAAAGATGGTCCGATGCAGAGGGAACCAGGGATAACTAATTTCCCAAAGGTTAAGTAATCATAAGGCACAGACACAGGCATCCTGAGCAGGCAGAAGCACTTCTAGGTCTTGAATGTACACATATAGATAGATTGGAGAAAGGAGGACAGTGTCCCTTTTATATAGTCGACTGCTTGTCTTGTGTGGTTCGTCTTTTATCAGTAAGCCTGTGCTGACAGACTCCAGGTAGCATGGATCACATATACTATGTTTGTAAATATATAACCTCCTCACAAACGTCCATCCAACCTTTGAGTGTAGAGTAAAGAAGTGTCACTTTTAGCCATCCCCACTCCTCTAAGGTGATTATCTTCATTTCATAGGTAAGTAAAGTGGGGTTGAGAGAAACAAGGACCCTCTCCCTTGTTTCCTAGAGTTAATTTCCTGTGTTCTTGAGCCTTCCCCATTTCTGAAGCACCAAAATTTACCACCCACCTACACTCACTGAATCTGAATTCACAAATTTTAGAGAAAAAATTAAAAGCCTTTGGAGTGTAGAAGACTAAGATAGGCTCCTGTTTTTCTTAGGAGGCCCATATTCCCTCCAGGACTGTCAATATCCTTCTGCATGGATAGACTGGATGTGGTAAGCTGAGAACCAACTCAATGTTGGTTCTGTGGCTGATGCTTGGGAAGACTCAGAGTAGTGCTGAAAAAGCAGTTCCAGGCCACTGAGTGTTGAGATGAGTCCCTTGGGAACAGCAGAGAGGTATTCTGAGAGAGTGTGAGAAAGTTCTTGATTTGGGGACAGCCCCACAGAAATTCATAGACTCAGTGTGTTTTTTTGTTTGTTTGTTTGTTTGTTTTTAATTTTTATTAATTACAGTTTATTCACTTTGTATCCCCTTTGTACCTTCCTCCCTCCTTCCTTCCCAATCCCACCCTCCCTCTTCCCCATCCGTGTGCTTCTCCTAGTCTCTGATAGGAACTGATTGGCCTCCTGTTTGATCACCTCCCCCTGAGGGGGGAGCAGCCTTGCCAGGCCACAGAAGAAGACAATGCAGCCACTCCTGATGGGACCTAATAGACTAGGATCAGAGGGGAAGGGAGGAGGACCTCCCTCGTCAATGGACCCATTGTGTTTTAATACTTATTGCTGGAGTATAGACATTATAAGGTGTCAGGAGAGGCTTGAAGCATGTGTACATCATAACAAGATTGGTGTAAGGACAGAGTTCCACAGCTTGGGTCACATTTTGGTTTCCACCTACTAACAAGTGAGTGTCTATATGAACATCAGTGTGATTCACTGAAGAAGACCATTATGCAGTGGGTGATAAAGGTCTCTGTACTAGTTAACTTGATGCTATGGTTACTAAAATTTATCTTTGGAATAATCTCCAACCCTTAGTAGTTAAATTCTGTGTTCCTCTCTATGTGCCTCAAATTTAACCTCTGGTGTCAATGATAGTCTGAGCATAGGTAAGGTTGGAAAGTATTAAATTTTTAGCTTATTAGGAGAGCAAACACTGACATATTCCAGATATTAAATAATGTTCTTTCTGGCATTTATTTCCTGGTATTTTAAGAAGGTTCTGAGGATCTGGGAGCTGGCATGGCACCAGTGGCTCCAGGTACTAGTGTGGCCTCTGGTAGATCAGTGAGTTCCTACGGTTCTGGGTACCAGCTTGAACTCTGGGGTTTCAGATATCGACATGATATCTGGGGTTCCAAACACCAGACATGCCTCTGGTAGAAAAGAAGGATTCTGGGGTTCAAGGAATTGGTGTGGCCTCTGGAAGAGGAAGGGGCTTTTGTCAGAGTAATGAGCCTGAGTCTGGAGACAAGGTAAGGGGGTATTGTTGGGGAATCTGGGCGGGCTCTAAGAAAGCACTGGGTGTCTGCAGGTAGGGTCTTACCTGGGGTTCCGGTTAACAGTGTGGCTCCAGAAGAGCAGGGCACTTGTGCTGGAGTGGGGAGGGATATGGAGACGAGGGGAAAGGGTTGCTATTTGGGAGCTGGGTGGTCTCTAAAGACTGTTGGCAGGCTGTGAGTGGGACTTACCTGGGATTCTGGGTACAAGTGAGGTCTTGAGTAGAGCAGTGGGCTTCTGTCAGAGTTGTGGGCAAGGATATAGAGATGAGAGCAGGAGATGCTGTTGTGTAAGCTGGGCAACCCTGAGGAAGTGCTGGATATCTGCGGGAGGGGTCTTATCTGGAGTACCAGGTCCCTACTTTGCCTCCAGTAGATCGGTGGCATCGGGCAGATTCTAATGGAAGAACATCCTCTGGGATATCCGCCCCAATTCCTCAGACGTGTCAGTCACCCTACCAGGATGAGTCTGACAGGAGCTGAAATAGACACATCAAGTAAAGGTTACATGGTATCCTACGTTGCATCTCGAAGCAGACAAAATATTAAGACTATACAAAGGAAATCCATGAAATGTGTGGTATTTGATAAATTCCTGTCTCATCACTCAACAAGGTACAATACAACATAAGGAAAGAAAGGGAAATTGGTGGAAGGCATTCGGGAAACCTGGAGCCCTATGATTTCAGTGACTCCTGACCCAGCCCATGCTCGTGGGTGAGCGAAGGCTAAGAGAATTGGAAAAACCTGAGTTAGAAGGATCCATGGGAATGAGCAAGGTATACAAGAGAAAAACTCTTGCCTCCAGAAACCTTGGACTTTTTTCAGGTCCATTTCTTAGCGCATGCCAGTCATTTCTGTCCGAGTTATATAACCAGGAAGGAAGATGTGTCCTGGTGCCATAAACCTTCCTCACATCACAAGCCACTTTTGCTGTTGTCATGATTTGGGAATTGTAATGTGTCCATTCAAGTCAGAGTACAAGACCTTCCCAGGACAGACATTCAAACAAAGCTCAATCCATAAAAGAGACTCAGAGGTCAGAACATTTGCCATGGTATTTGTTTTAGCCACTGAAAATATAACGCACACAAAGTTCTCTTTTTAAAGTTGGCTTATCCCAAGTGTTTTAAAATAGTGATAAAAGCCCTAAGAACACTGTGGCAGTGCCTGTTGTTCGCAAGCTTTCCAAACACTTTCATGGAAATTTTCCAGGAATATCTAAGTATGTGACATTTATCATCTTGATAGGAAAGTCAAGAAAGTGCTAAAGAAAAGAAAACATGCACAATACCTTTTCTTGGTGTCTTAGATATAAAAACCAACAAATTATTAATGAATATTTCCTAGCATTATATAATATTATATATCATAACCAATGGTGTTTATGTTAGATTGTTAAGAGTACGTCAAGACTTGACTTGATAGTCACCAGAACCACAGGCCAGTCAGGCCAGTTAGGGGGAATACATCCATCTAACAAAGATAAACTCAGAGATCAGCACCTAATTGTGTAATTATCCCAAACCAAGAAGCATAGAGGCCATCATAAGAACAATTAACAACAGCCAGAGTAATACCGTACCAGAGCCCAGTTATCCTACTATAACAAGCCCTGCATATCACAACACAGATGAGGAAGAAAACAATTTAAATCCAATTTTATGAAGTTGATAGAGGTCCTGAAAGTGGAAATGAGTAAATTCCTTAAATGAATTCAGAAAAACACAAATAAAATTAGAAGAAAGAAAAAAATCCTTTAAGAAAGCCAAGAAGAAACAGACAGGTGAAGTAATGAATAAACCTGTTAAAGACCTGAAAATGGAAATAGAAGCAATAAAAAGAAAAACAAATTGAGGGAATCCTAGAGATAGAAGCTAATTAAACAAACAGGAACTACAGAAACAAGTATCACCAACAGAATACAAGAGATTAAAGAGGTACAGAAGATACAATAGAGGAAATGATACATCAGTCAAAGAAAATATTAAATGTAAAAAGTTCCTGATGCAAAATAACCAGGAACCCTGTAACAGTATGAAAAGGCCAAACAAAAGAAAAATAAGGATAGAAGAAGAATCGCACATCAAAAATTCAGAAAATATTCTTAACAAAATCATAGAAAAAATTTTCATAACTTTAAGAAAGACATGCATATAAAGATACAAGAATCTTACAGAACACCAAAAATATTGGAACAGAAAAGAAAGTCCACCTGCCACAGAATAACCAGAATAATAAACATACAGAACAATGAAAGAATATTAAAAGCTGCACGGGAAAAAGACCAAGTGACCTACAAGGGCAGACCTATTAGAATTATACCTGAATTTTCAATGGAGATTCTAAAAGCTAGAAGAACCTACGCAGATGACTTGCAGACTCTAAGAGACCACAGATGTCAGCCCAGACTACTAAAACTAGCAAGATTTCCATCAGCATAGAAAGAGAAAAACAAGATGTTCCACGACAAAGACAAATTTAAACAAATCCATATCTATCCATAAATCCAGCCCTACAGAAGGTTCTAGAAAGAAAACTCTATCCTGTAGGAACTAAATACACCCATGAAAACATGGGAAATAAATAATCTCACACCAGTAAATCTAAATATAGGCACATGCATGTGCAATACTCACACACATGCAGGCGCACACAAACACACACAAAACACCACTATAATTTGGTGAGTAATATCCCTCAACAGCAATTAACTCAGTTCCCCTTTTCCACCAAAAGACAAGCTAACAGAATGGATGCAAAAGCAGGATTCATCCTGCTGCTGCTGCTGCTGCATACAAGAAACACACTTTTTTTTAATTTTTTATTAATTACACTTTATTCATTTTGTATCCCCCCATAAGCCTCTCCCTCCTCCCCTCCCGATCCCACCCTCCCTCCCCTTTCTGCATGCATGCCACTCCCCAAGTCCACTGATAGGGGAGGTTCTCCTCTCCTTTCTGATCTTAGTCTATCAGTTCTCATCAAAATTTGCTGCATTGTCCTCTACCATGGCCTGGTAAGGTTGCTCCCCCCTCAGGGGGAGGTGATCAACGAGCAGGCCAATCAGATTATGTCAGAGGCAGTCCCTCTTCCCATTACTATGTAACCCACTTGGACACCATCATCAAAACAAAGTGACTGCCTACAGATTGGGAAAGAATCTTCATCAACCCTTTATCTGACAGAGGACTCATATCCAATATATATAAAGAACTAAATAAGCTGAAAAGCAACAAACCAAGTAATCCACTTAAAAAATGGGGAACAGAGCTAAAGAGAGAATTCTCTGTAGAGGAATATCGAATGGTAGAGAAGCACTTAAAGAAATGTTCAACCTCATTAGCCATTAGGGAAATGCAAATCAAAACAACCCTGAGATTTCACCTTACACCCATCAGAATGGCCAAGATGAAAAACTCAAGGGACAACACATGCTGGAGAGGTTGTGGAGAAAGGGGAACCCTCCTCCACTGCTGGTGGGAATGTAAACTGGTACAACCACTCTGGAAATCAATCTGGCGCTTTCTCAGACAACTAGGAATAGCGCTTCCTCAAGATCCAGCCATACCCCTCCTAGGCATATACCCAAAAGAGGCTGAAGTACACAAAAAGGACATTTGCTCAACCATGTTTGTAGCAGCTTTA